TTCCAATCTTACTCTACTCGTTTGGAGTAGTGAAGTGGATTCGGGAGAAGCTGTATCAACTCAACGTAAAGGCTCAAAAAATGATGCTTCTCTATAGGAGTTTGCATCCCAAATCATCTGTTCCACGGTTGTACTTCTCTCGACACCAGGAAGGCGTGGACTTTTGAGTTTGGAGTGTCTTCATGACAGAATGGTACTAGATATAGCCTGTAAAGTCGTCAGGAGTTCGGATCCCCTTCACTGCATGGTCGGTGACCATGAGAGAGCAGGTATTGGATCATTTCTCTCCAGGGCAGCTGCCAGAGCAGCTGATGAACTCGGTTTAATTTACGATACTGAATCACAACTGAACAACTGAAAAAGCTCATGTAAAATCCGCAGAGATCACTTCACTTCTGCGGAAACACAAGGATAAGCCATCGCATGGGGGTCTTCTTCAATAACATTGGAGACCTTGGCTTATCAAAGCGCCTGACTTTCGCTTTCTTCAGGTCGAGTGGGTTGAAGTCGGAAACTGAGGGGTTCATCATGGCTTGCGGTCATATAAACCATATTTGCAGTTGAGCCAACTGACGTCTAGATTTTGTGGTGTCAGAGTTTAGTGCCAGTTTCAAAATGGATTTCGAAGAAGAAGCACTACTACTTCTTATTTTGAGGAGAAGGAGAAGATGTAGAAAGGTACGATCGTTTTGGGTACATCCACTTCTGGTTGTGCGACAACGGGAAGGAAATTTTTATATTTTGTTTGAAGGTAGTTGACAATGTTTCGTGGTGCATTTCATCAGTTTGGGCTTCCATTGTCTAATATGATATAAATTGATTTGAAATCCCTAACAGAATATGTGAAGAAATTAGAAAGATTAGCAGAAAAAACAATTTTATTAAGCAAAAAACTGAAATTACAATGAAATAACATACAAGCAACAACCGGTAAACTACGGCATGACGAAAAAAAAAGTTTTAATTACTTCAGTATGTCCATTAGTTCTTTTAATGAATTAATTTGAATTTTGAAATGAAAAATTGAACGCTGTGAGACCAATATGAGAAAAAGTACACGACGGTGTACGCGATTGGGTACGACTGTAAGTTTGTGGTTAGTGTACGGCGAATGCCGCGATTGCATCTCGGCGGAGATTAGCAGCAAGTTGACTGCAGACGCCCGTTTTGACGTTTGTGAACGCCCGTATATGTGTAGTACAGTATTTCTTATTGGCGGCTTGAGTTCGCTGGAACGCGATTGCAATTGTGTGGTCGATCCGACCGCAATGTGGCTCGTGTACGGCCACCGCAGTCGCGTGAAGGGTATAAAGGTTCCTGACACAAGGTACAGGGCCTGCTGCGAGGCGCCCGAAATCCTAATGCACTTGCTATCAGCATGTCCAAAATCATACCGGCTTGCCGAACTAAGGCAGAGATCTTAGTCGGACAGATGCAGAAGGCTGTCATTCTTGGCTCACTGCGCTTGCTCAAGGCACATGATTCTCGGGCGTAATGATCACTTACCACACGGTGTGGGAGGTGGTCATTGGTTGATAATGCTGGCGCGCCCTCCCGAATATATCGGGGCTTCGGAGGATAGGGCCTGACCAGCGCAAACTACGGTTGAAAAAATAATATTTATTCGATCAAAATACATACAACGAGCGGTACACAAAATACTGGTATGCAATTATAAAATGAAATGAAATGCATACATGTACTATAGATAAAACTGATTTTAGCAACTAAAACTGAATACTTAAGTATATCATCAATTTTTTTCCAAAAAGTATCTAAATTGACAAACGAGATGTTTCAAATATATATTAACAGACTAATTGTTTGAATAGCACATATGAGTTGCAACTTTGAATATGAAGTGGTAAACTATTGAATTGTCGGTCCCAAAAACTTAAACGACTATAGATTTCGCAACAGAAGGTGTTATAAACCGGTTTATAGTTCTCGTCGTATACATATTGTTATTTTATTGAACTCATTCTTTTCTTTGTATTTCCTTACGATGTAATCAACCTGGTGATCCCATCTTTGAAAGACTTCATCTGTAATGAGGTATTCTATTCAGAAGAATTTTAGTAGAAAAATTGGAAGCATATGGGTATAAAAATTTAATTTTTTTTAATTTGTATTCTCCATCGGCGATGAAAAATATCTTTATAAAACCCCTTCGACTTTCTAAAACAGTTATGTTACCTAATGACTTTTTTTACAATCTTTCATTTGCTTGTTGTAGGTTGAGTGGCATCCTGAGTATCACCAGAATGAGGTATTGGAATTTTGTCAACGAGAAGGTATAGTACTCCAGGCTTATTCATCTTTGGGGGGAACTGGCAATACAGATTTAATGGGCAATCCAAAAGTGAAGAAAATTGCCGAAAAATTAGGAAAAACCCCTGCTCAGGTGAGTGAGTATAAATGCAAACTTCACTTGTCATTGCTATTTATATAACGGGTATTGGACAATGAAACGTCTACTTCTCATTAATATTTTTTGAATATATTTACTGCGTTTTCAGAGTTTTAATGAAAGCATACAAGTAGATTACACTTATTATATAAACATCACTTTTTATTCGCATGAAACTAAATTCGAACCCGCCATATATTGCGTCGGGTTAACGTAAAATGGACACCAAAACAGAAATTTTCGAAAAAACAAGTAACTCAGTAAAAGAGACAAAAGGGTGTATCGAAAAGTTGTCATTATTACCACTAAAAGGTTATATATATATTTATTTCTGACCGGGATATTATAAGCTTATATCGTCATATTCGGTAATTAAGGCCCTCCTAATTCCCTTGATACATAAATAACTATTATTTTAAATGCAGAATGAATAGGGTTCAAGATACCACACATACTCAAGGCCTGAAAATTACTCTTGTTAAATGTTACTGTAAATACCACCCAGAGATACTTCAAAGCATCAAACATTTGTATAGTTTTATCCTCATCATTTTTCAAATACTGTACATTATCGCTGGAAGTTTATTTATTTTCAACGCTGAGCTTCTAATTTTGACTCTCACTGGGTCTTATTATACTAGAATCATTTTCGATAGTTTCAAATTAAACGCAAACATAATGTTATCAGTCGCTACTACCATTTTTTCTAGTGACGACTAGAAACAAGATAGGTGGGTGAATATAACAGATATGGTCTAGCCTTATCACTACATGGTACATTGTATCAGACACTAGTATCAGACCAAATGGACGGCAAAAATGTGTGTTCTTTTTCATTATTAGAGAGCATTCAGAAATTATTTTATAGGAAACATAGGATTTTTATTTCCGTATTCCATTTGAAGTTATGAATTTTCAAACTAGAGCTGAAGAAATATTTTGTTCTTCTATTCTTCTAGATTTTACTGCGTTGGGCTCTTCAACAAAACGTTGCCATCATTCCAAAAGCTCGTTCGAAAGAACACATGGAACAAAATATTGATCTCAACTTCAATATCCCAGAAGCTGATATGAACATTTTGAGCAACTTCGAGAGAAAGAAATACGACTGGGATCCAGACACTGTTGCTTAAAACATTTTCATACATAAAACTTACAATGGCAGATACTTTTTTGGATAAAATAAAAAAGTCTTAATCGAAAGCAGTGATTTCAATTGTTTCGTCTATGTTTTTGGAACCTATTTGTATATCTGAAATAGATAGAGTATATCATTGATCAACTCAATCCTAACGAAAAATGTAGATTTAACGAAATTTTTGGAAAAATTGTAAAATGAGGCAAAACGTCAGTATCGCCAATTTTATTGTATATTATTTCCAAATCCTTCGAAAGTGGATTAGTTCCAAATGAAATGGAAATTACAAAGGTTTCTTCCATAAATAAAAGTAAATATTACTGGAGTTGTTTCCCATCACCAAACCGTTATTTTAATACCTCGACACGTGTTTTGATCACCAAGTGATCATCTTCAAGAGGAAGATGGATCTTCCTCTTAAAGTGACAGGCGACGTAGGAGCGGTTGGCGGAAAAAATTGGCGGGTGATCTGAAAAGCAGGATTTACAGATCTCATACGTTGGTGTAATGTTCCTCGATTCGGGTGAATGTCTTAGATTTGGATAAATATATTTTATTTGGGTGTAGATTTGATAAATGGTTAATGATAAAACATAGTGTGTGGTGACGATAACAATGACGTTCAGAATGCGAGAGTTCAGAGAGGGTTGAGGGGAAACATCGTATGGTGCTGCTAATGACATATTTGGATTCCTTGTACCAAGATTATCTCAAATCCATTATAGTAAGGGCAAAATGATGTCATTGAAATGATATGGATGTCAAGAAAAATAATTAATCATTATATGGGGTCAAAAAAGCTTCATAACATATTTCCGTAATTAATCAGGTAATAATCCTTGTGTTGGATTTTCTGTAGGTTCACTAGGAATGTGTATCGTATTGAGATATAATAATAATAATAGTATTCTGTATTCAGTAGAACACAGGATTACAAAAAAAATGATACCTATCAAATACGCTACAACATTTCCTATGCAAACTGAAAAAGGCGCAGTTCATCTTGAGCACCTGGAGTGTACAAAGATGGTCTTCCACTCAACTTTTGGACATTCAGAAGAAAAGAACTAAAGATCGCAGATAACTAATGAAAATTGAGTGAAACTATAGATATATTTGCTGATTCAAATAACCGCTTTCTAGATATTAGAGGATTTCATAAATTCAAACAAATGTTTTCGAAAGGAGGAGAGTTTCATATTCTTAAAATCATTTGGAATAGCATTGTAAGTGGTCGATACATTATANATGCCTTAGATTCAGCCGTGCATATGTATATATTGTATATATATTTATTGAACATGCCGCAGAAGATTGAGCGACTATTAAATCTGTTTAAATCTGTTTTTCCGTTAACCAGCTGTCGAACCCTCACGAACGACAACCCTCAGAAGTCGAAACTTCTGCGAGCTAAGGACTAACTAGGTCTTACCTTTTAACATGTGATTCCTAACACGGGTTGGACGATAGCAAGTGAAAATCGATCGTTCAGCCTGGAGCTTGAACCAACACGGCGGTCGATTTGAGTGAGTGAACAAAGCACCCACGTCGAACCGACCGGCTACCGTCCTTTGATAATTTTTGATAGGGCGCTTTGTTTCGAAGATATGGTTTTTTTTATTCAAAAACATGCCAGTACCTAAAACCTATACTCCAAAACGTTCATCGCTGACATGTTTTCTAGTTCAACTCCCTATTTTTTCTTCAACTATCTATAGATACTTTCTAATTTTCTATATTGAGTGAAGTGTTAACTTACTACCTGCTTCATTGACAATCGAATACAATAGTTATGTGTCACCGTAAATCAATTTGAAAATACTCAAAATTTCTCTGAATTTGTATAGGTAAGCAGATAAAGCAGATATTTCTACAAACAGGTCAGCCATGTTATATTACATTAGATTTCATATAAATATGAAGTAATTTCAGAGTCACGTCAGTTGTAATCGTTGTACCACTGATACACACAATATATGCAGATAAGTTTGTGTTTTGAAAGATTTTGGGAATGGATACCAGTAAATACGGAATATCAGTTGGGAAAAACAATGAATCTGTTTCTGATAAAGCAATTCTCGATTTGAATGTAGTAAAAGTCGAACCACAAGAAGTTGTAACGTTTAGTGAGGCCGATAGTGGTTCTATTACTGATCCAAACTCTATGGATCACGACGATGATACTGATAAACAGATAAAAATTGAACGTGGTGATGAAATTGACCTTGTCAATGAAGATATCAAAACGGAGATCATGGATGATGATAAAGTGACCAACAATATTCAAGATGACGACGTGACTCAAGATGTCAAGTTGCTACCAGTTGCTGATCCGTACTCTATTGATTACCACGATGCTATGGGCAATACGAATGACCCGATAAAAATTGAACGTGATGATGGAATCAACCTTGTATACAAAGATATCAAAACAGAGATTGTATATGAGAATAACGTGACCGACGATATTCGCAATGACGACATGAGTCGAAATGTCAAGTTACTGCACAGTGATGTCTTGAAAGTTCAGGAGCAGAGACATACTGAAGAAAGTTCTTTTCAATGTACAATGTGCTCAAAATTTTTCATGCAACTTCATGAGTTGAAAGTTCACGAAGGAAGTCATACCGGCAAAAGACCATTTCAGTGTAAAATATGTTCAAAATTATTCACGCGTAAAAATACATTAAAAATTCATGAACGAAGTCATACTGGGCAGAAACCATTTCGATGTAAAATATGTTCAAAGCTTTTCACTCAAAAAAGTAATTTGAAGGTTCACGAACGAAGTCATACAGGAGAAAAACCATTTCAGTGTAAAATATGTTTGAAATCTTTCACTCATAATGGTAGTTTGAAAGTTCACCAAAGGATTCATACAGGAGAAAAACCATTTATGTGTACAGTCTGTTCAAAATCTTTCGCTAGAATACATCATTTGAGAGTTCACGAACGAACTCATACTGGAGAACGACCGTTTCAGTGTGAAATATGTTTGAAATCTTTCACAACTACTAGTAGTTTGAAAGTTCACGAAAGGAGTCATTCTGGAGAAAAACCATTTCAATGCACGATCTGTTCAAGATCTTTCGCTGAAAAGGCTAATTTGAAAGTTCACGAAAGGATTCATATAGGAGAGAAACCATTTATGTGTACAGTCTGTTCAAAATCTTTCATGCGAAATGGTACTCTAAAAATTCACAAAAGGATTCATACTACCGTTGGACACTAGTCCGTACACTATGTTTTTGTATCAATTATATTTATTTCAGTTCAATTTTGCATTTTTCTTTCTTCAACGAAACCTAGGTTATTGATGTGTAATGTAAAATATATGGAAAACTTTGAAAATGATCTGATGAAATCTGTTTTTACGTTTAGCAGCTTCCCACCTTTTATGAATGACAGCCCTCCGAAGTTGAAACTTATGCGAGCTGAATATTAACGGAATCTTACTTTTCAACGTTCGGATTTTAGTTCTGTCTACTATAGTCCGTTCATAATTTGTCGATAGCACAAAACGAGGGCCCAAGTCATAAAACGGTCGTAAAACTCGTAAAATCATAGGCGGAGGTTCCTGAGGTGTTTATTCATTAAATATAAAGCTTCAGTTTATATTCGAAACTTGCCTTGAAAGGGTGAAGTTGTTACGAACGAAAATAATTTTTGGTTTAGTACATTTTTTAATCGCATTTAATTTACGGCTCGTTGGTGTTTCGGCGTCTACGGCAGTAATTAACGTCTCTAATATTTATTTTGCGAATTTTGTGCAGTG